CTTACTTGTTAACACTCTGTATTCGTAGTAAGCTGTGTATAATATTTATGATAATTGTTTGACTGTCGTGAATGTATATATATGTATATGGCAATGCTAATCTTTAATAAGAGATATACATATCATCATAAGATCTCTAGCGGCAGGGTATCCTCCAGTTGAGCACTTCCTAATCACCTTTCCTCATTCCAATTGTCTGTTGCCCTGCTCTGGGATTGAACTTTGAAAGCATTTGTAGAATTTACGGCAACTGCAACTGCATCTGACAAAGACTGTAATTTTCTCGAACTGAGAAAATTGAGAAAACTCTCGTGGAAAGTAAAGCCAGCAAGCAAGGGTGACGGTGCTAGGGCACAAGAGGGATTCTAGTATAGATAGCAGTAGGGCGACGGCAACAAACTTTTCGCTGAACCTAACCGAACAACTGACAAAAACTGACAAAGTGCAGTCGGCTGATAGTTGTTTTTTCTTTTTCTTTTTCTGTAGTTTTCCATTTTCATTTTCTTTTTCGCCATGTAAAAGTTGTCCTCGTATTTCACAATTTTCCTTTTGTGTGATATGTTGGCTCGTAATTTAATTTCGCTTCCGCCTCCGGGTAAATGTGTGTGATTTAAATTTGCTATAGAATTGTATTCCGAAGGGCAGTGTAAATAGTACGTACACTGACTGGTGACAGCAACTGTATATTTGCATATGTACAGGATATTTGTAATACTCTTTGTTATTTGCTATCCATTTTCTTTGGATGCCTCGGGTACAGGATATGCTGCATTGCCTAGAGGAGTATTTGGGGCTGTATTGGGGGCACTGTGCTACACTTATGGCTTATTAATGTACCTGCCACATGAGTCGAGCACTGGGCGGATGACGACAACGCCGGTGATGATGACCTAGTCGTCGCACCTACTATGCGAGGGTGTCGGGTGCCTGATAAGAGACAGTTGGTGTTGGCGTTTTGACAGTTCGAATGGCAGCAGCCCAGCAAGCGTTGTGTGGATGGAGCAGAGAGGACGCAAGACGGTGCAGAACACATCTCAAATGGTTAACAGGAAAATTGAAATCGTAAAACGTATTTGAAAAGATACCATGAAAATATGTAAGCATATTAAAGTGTCTTCAGTAAACTGAATAGACAAACTTTTGTAGAAGAAACTAACTAAAGAATATTAATTATAATATGGAATATAACAAATTAAATGATATATAAGGTATGCGAGGTGATATAAATGTTATGAGATATTACAAATTAAATAATAAATAAATAAAATAAATAATATAAGATGATATATATATATGAGATATATATATGATATATGAAATATAGGATAATGCGAGAATAAATAAATTCAAATTGTGTTAAAAGGCGAACACAAAAACATTAGTAAAAGTAATAAAAGAAAACGAATTTAACTTTTTACTAACTATTATATGGAAATCCAGGTGAATAGTATATGTATATAATGACAGTTTCACGAAAAGTTGAATAGGAAGGTATAACTCTTCTGAAAAATAAGTTTTGATGTAGAGAAACATATACACATATATGTTATATGTAAGCAAGTTATGATTCCCAAACATCATACCTATATAAATCAGAGAAGAATGAATCTTTCGTGAACTGAAAGATACTCTTTCGTGGGAGTCTCTAGACGACTTTCACAAGTGCTCACGGGGCTTCCATTTAACACAGGTTATTGTATTTATAAACGGTGCTATAATAGCGATATATATAACTATATATATTTTTGTACTCATTCATATTTCAAAGGTATGCTAAATGAGCCACAGATGTGGGCACCCTCTAGCGACAGGCTGAAGTAGCTCTGTTCATTGTCCTGGTGTGCGCATTGTCATCATCTCGGGCAAGTCCCATAAGGCTCGGGCATTAAATAACACACGGCTCACACCACCCCAAACCCGCATCCGCACAACCACATTCCCAGCCCCACTTCCACTTTCGTATTTCCTACTCTGCTCTCTAGTGTTCTCCACCGTTCGTTAGGTGTTAAGCTGTGCTTAATAATGACGCACATTACATATGCAATGCGAGAAGCTGCTTTGCCAGGACATTCCCTTAGCCCCATGTCCAAGGACTTTAGGCAGGTGTGTTGGTGTGTGTGAGTGTCTGGTAAACAAACAAATGTGTCGCTATTTGTTTATCTGCGACATATTTCCCGCCACAGTCGCTATCTCTCTCCAACTGCCACGTGCCCATATTTGTCTTTTTATATAGCATTAAATATATTGCAGTCCCAAAGGACTCAATTTCACATTTAAAGCACCTGCGCCATGCATATATGTCACATGCATACATAATAATACCCCGTACACCTAATATATCATAGGGTATGACTTGCATCAATATAAATCACCAGTTATTATAGGGCTCAAAATAATTATTTTTAATTGGATATTTGATTTGTGTGCTGTTCATCCTCAAGGTAATGATTGTTACTGATTCTAAATTAGATTCAGATTATTTTCCGTACTGAATGTAATCGCTCAGCCATATAATTGTTAACAGATGTAACATGAACAGTAACATAGCCAGATTAATGTAACAGTCACTTAACAGTATTTCAGCAGATGCTTACTTAAAGCTCTCACTAAGAGTGAAAGACACTTATTTACAGACAATCCGAAACGGATAACAGATATTTGCAAGCTATGGCTCTTGGACTAAACAGTTTTACTAATAATTTATTATCATTTATTTGTATTAACTGAGAGTTTGACAGATTCACATCTCAGATAGATGAATAGAGAATACAGAGTAGCTTAAAGTGCATTCGCTTTGATAAACAATTGTAATTTGAGACTAAAAGAGCGCAGCGCTAGCCACAAACCGCAGCCCCATCTTCATCATCATCATCATCATCTGGGACTTTTGAGCAGTGCTTAGCGAACTGCCACTTGTGGCAGCAGCTGGAAGTGAAGGCAGTGACAGGTCCTGCGACAAATGAACTAATTTGATTTACATGCAAATTACAGTTGGGCCAACTAAAAAACAACTTTCACTGCTTGCACAGGACGAACAGAAGAGGTGAAGTGGGGCGCTGTCATTAAAAAATGTTTACAAAATTAACCAAATTGACAACATCCGTTGGCCACTCAAAGCGAACAAAAAATGAAAAGAAAGTTTGCTGAAAATCTAGAACGGAAACGGCGAAGACGCACGCATTCTTTCCTTACTTTTCAGTCTCCTCTCTCTCTCTCTCTCTCTCTCTCTCTCTCTTTGTCTCTATTTAAACAATTGTTTTTTTCGTTGTGCCCCATATTTGTCTGGTTTGTTTAGTGGGAAGTTGATGCCCACGGCAACCTCTTGGCACGACAACGTAACGTGCCGCATATTTAAATTTTAATTAAAATATAGCTTGTGTGGCACGCGTCGCTCGTCCTGTCGACTCCGTACAGCCATCTCTCTCTCTCTCTCTCTCTCTCTCTCTCTCTCTCTCTCTCTCTGTCTTTCTTTCTTTCTCTCTCTCTATCTCTATTCTCAATTACGCGCGCGCGCCTCGCAATATGCAAATAAAAAATTGCCTTTATTTTTTGTGGGCTGAAAATCTAGGTCTGATTTTTGAAGAGCTTTTCATAGAGCTTTAGGCAAGAGACTAGGAGAGGGCACTGGAGACACGAGGCAGGGGTGACAAAGTAGCCGAGAGCAAGTAGCTTTCGTTGGGTTCATTATATTGAGGTTAAAAGCTTTATGCGCCCTTAACTGTATTTATATTAATCCTACATGCGGCTTGGCTTGATTCCTACTTTGGCGTTCCATAGACATCTGGTCCTAGTGTAATTCGAGAATATATCTGGACAACGGATTGACTCGATAAAGTCCACTTTAGTCTGTCTATCCGTCCATAATTAGATTGTAATAGCAGCTCTGTGAAAGAGTCAGGGTATCGTCTAGTCGAGCACTCCCAACTGGAGCAGTATTTTACGTTTCATGCAACTTTCATATTATATATTCAAATGTTTTATTACGCCTCTTGTAAGGCCATTTTATTTGCAAATTAAGTAAATATTTTGCTGCTTCAATCCAATTATATGGCGAAGTCGTTCCAAGCCCTATGACCCTCACGTCTCCGGCTTTTTGTTTGTAAAAAAAATGTATATATATATATATATATATATATATATATATATATATATATATATATATATA